ATCAATATCGATTTAGAAATTACTCAATTTAGTTTAAGATATCGTTATCGGTGTATGTACACGAGGGTGGTCCAAAAATGCATGAGAAAAAGTAAAGTCGGCACTTTTATGCGCTCACCCCCTAAGGTTGTTCTATACCGACAAAAAGTGTACCCATATTTTTTATTTTAAAATCAAAAAATATTTAGAGGTCGCTGAAAGTTTTCCATGTATTTTATATGGACAAAAAACAACTTTTCGAAGAAACGATATAGCATTCTTAAAAATCTATATTTTTCGATCGGAAAACTTTGCTTATGATCACAAGATTCCCATGTTTCTTTAACCATTTCTTCATAGTAACTAAATATAATTTAGGTACAGCTCCGCCAAAAACCCCTAAACACCCCGAAAAATGTATTAAGGTGGCCAATAAAAAATCTTTAGTATTAAAGAATGGTTAAATAAACAATTGGGTATTATTATTAAAAGTCTGCTGAAGTGAACCAGCGTTTTCCGATCGCAAAATATTGATTTTCAAGAATTCTATACCATTTCTACGAAAAGTGGTTTATTCCCCATATAAAATACATGAAAAACTTTGAGCGCTTTCAGCGACATCTAAATATTTTTTGATTTCAAAATAGGGGTATATTTTTTTCGATATAGAACAGTCTTAGGGGCGAGAGCATCGAAATTTTGACTTTACTTTTTTTTGGACCACCCTAAAGCTCGGAACACTTTGACGACTGCAACTTCACGACGTAACGACAGCGACATCATTTTGTCGACAAATGTCGCATTGAAGCCAGCTTCTTAAACATTTTGAAGACCTCAGCGACATAGCAAACAGCTGATTTTAAAGTTTGACATTTTGGTATATTTATTTCACAAATTGTGTATTTTTATTTAAGTAAATAAGAAAAACATGAACAATCAAGAATATGTGATTAATTTTGCGACAATTTAATTTTGCAGCACTACATCTACTCATTGTCGCCGGCAAAATTAGAAATAGATTTAATTTGGCGACGTCNAGCTTAATGTATACATGTGATTCGCATTCAATCTGATTTTCGACAAAATTTTTTTAATAACATGGAATCTCTCTATATATATATATATGCACGCACATATGTATGTAAATAAATACATAGTTTGATTCCTAAAGGCCAACAAAATTTTATTTTAATAAGGATTTCATAATTTAATATATAAATAGTACATTATTCCCAAAAAAAATTTCGAATATTTGTTTAGTTCCTGAGCATTATTGCAACAAAAGATCACGTTAAAAATCACATTGTAAGTAGAGGTTAAATAAAATTAATTAAATTTAAATTTATCTTTTTATTTCATGCAAGTGTGAGTATTTCTCAAATTTATAAAGCATCTTAAACAATTTAAAATAAAAAACTTTAATTTCCCTACCTTGCATACTACATAAGCGGATACCGTTAAACAGATAAATACAATTCGGAAATCCCGAAACTGGGAAATATATACCGAATGAATTTTGACAATTCAGCGAAAGTTACGAAATTTTTTGCGAGTTTCAAAGCTTTTTTTCGAGTTTACGCAATGATGAGTTTCCAATCTCTCCATACAAAGCTATGTTCTTGTATATGAAGATATNGAGTCTACGCAATGCTGAGTTTCCAATCTCTCCATACAAAGCTATGTTCTTGTATATGAAGATATTTCATGTACGAGTATGTGTGTGTATATAAATATGGTGTTTATGTGCTTTGGTCTATACTATGTGTATGTACATACATATGTCTAACAGCTGCTATGTATTTAAAAATATATATGTATATATTTTTAGCATTTTCTTTTTTAGCTTGGTGCGCACAAAAAATTCTCTTTTAGCATAATTTAATAGTTTTCCAATACTGTTTTTTCATTTATAAAAAGCGCTGCAAAAAAAAATGTTTAATAAATTCATATCTCTTTTTTAGCACTTCAAAATTACAAAGAAACATCTAGCAATGCAATTAAAAATTTATAAATTTTATTTATTTTGGTTTAGCCGGCCAATTTCCAAGATATGTTTAGTGCTTTAAATTTCCCTCTCACTTTTCGTTTTCGTTACTGCTTTCACTTACATTTCTATGTGTAGTTTACTATATATTCATTTCCTTTAACATACATACATACTACATTTTTACGATACAAATTCTTCACTGAGCTGTTTTGCTTTGCTTTCTTGTAGTTGCTGCTGCACATTCAAGTTGATTGTTTTTCATTACCATGTTTGCGTTCTCTTGGTTAGTATATAGTATTTTTATTTTGCGTTTGTCAATGTTTTTTTTTTTAATTTTTAATTTTTTAACTTGCTAAATACATATCTTACTTTTTTTCTTATCTTTTCGTTATTCAAATTTTATAACTAAAATTTATAGTTTTTGTCATAGTTTGTTAATTTTTGAACAGTTCTGAAATAGTACACATTTATGTATGTATGTAATTCGAAAAACACATCTAGAATATTCGTTTAATTAATTTTGAATTAAGTGTAAAATTTGCTAATAAATACAACTATTTGGTATTGCGATTTCGCTTACTCAATTAACTATCAATGTAATGAAACAAACTGGTTTAGAGGATAGTTGTTGCAAATTCGAGTTATAGCAGAGAGCGAAGTGTTGAGGCATAAAACCTTTGTAATTTTGTGAATACATACATAGATACCTGCAAATTCCATATCTTTCCATATCTGTCCTTTGGATGCTCTGCTTTATTATTTTTGGTATCTAATGGGAATGTTACCTAATGATAATGGTAATGGTAATGGTGTTGGTAATAGTGGAGGAAATGATAATGATAATGGTAATGGTAAAAGCAATGGTACTGCCAGTGGTAATGGTATTGTTAATGGTAATCGTAATAGTAGAGGTTAACATAGTGGTGATAGTAGTAGTAAAGGGTAATTATATTTGTAATAGTAATGAAAACGGTCATGGTACTGGTGATTATATTGGTAATGGTATCGGTAATGATAATGGTAATTGTAAATGCTAATGTTCATGATAGTTGAAGTATTAATGGTAATGGTCATGCTACTGGGAATATTAATGGTAATGGCAATTTGAATAACTGGGATGACGTTTTTTTTTTTTAATTTTGAAGTTATTAGACAACCTTTCATCGCAGCTTGAGCAGAATATCTCTCTATATCACGCAAAAAGAGCCGGTTTATTAATTTGCCACTGTGTGGATTGGGTGGAAAGTGTGCGAAGGAGTAGTGCTTACGCTCTTAGCCCCCAAGTAGATGATATCAGCCTGAATTTCAGAAATAAGGTCAATAACATAGGAGCAATTCGGAATAGCGAGCTGCTGTGGAAGGACACATTGCGAAATGCATTAAGTTAGGCCCAACGACACTTTTTACTTACAAAAAAGATAAATGAAATGTTCGCATCACGGGGATTCTCTCCCAGGGTAGTACAATGAAAATGTTCGGAATCGTATACTTTATGGTGTCTTAGTATGGTGGCCTACACATGATATCAATATCACCTCATAAACCAGCCATTAAGGCAGGAATTTCTCAAAAGTGGGACTCTGCTCTTGGACGCCCCGAATTCGATGAAGCATCTACCTCCGATTGATCTTATTGCTCTAGATTTCGGCAAAAATACTTCATCGAGGGAACCACAGGCGCTGTTCGGCTATACTAATCACATCGGCAATAATCTCTATTACATGAGTACCTATCAGTACAAAATTGTGATATTAACACCACAGGACTGCGAGAGCTATATGAGTAATTTTATAAACTTTACACATATGATGCAAAATTTGAAGGGAGTGCCAGAGGAGGAGCAGTTTTTTCAGCTGTACACGGGTTGGGGATATGTTTCGTCCCCCCTTTCCACTGCAGTGTATGTCGAACTAAAGTGTTGGCCAATCAGGAAGCAGCTGGGTCCTTGCTCAAAGACATACATCGGGAAACAAGTCTTCATCTACTCTAACAGTCCAGCAGCCGCCAAAGCTTTACCTGCGCATAGACAGATCATTACTTAATGCTTTCGCAGACTTCTAAGATGGTCCTGCATAATATGGTTCAACTTATATGGATGCCTAGAAACTCCGGTATTAAGAGCGATTCCAACGCTGATTAATTAGTGAGAAAATGCTACAACCTTACAGAGAAGGATGTCAATCGGCATAGGCATAGTCAGTGGCTGTCAGTCTCTAGACATTCGCACCGTAAGTGCCTGACAGTTTCCGGTTCTTCTTCGTTAAGGCAGCTCCTGCAGTAGCCATTATCAGCCACACCTAACAACTCTGCGTGCGTCCCTAAGAGTATGTGTCCGGCCAGTAATCACATGGCTAACGATAATTCATTCCCTTTCAATGATAGCAGCTCTCGCGATTTTCTTATGTCCCACTCTCGACACATACGTTTGCCTGCGTACCATGTACTTGAGTACTCCCACCTTGCATGGGCTTCTTTTAAGTAAAATTCCCTAATTATGAGCTTGCAGGAAGCCTTCCTTGTTTGCTTTCCCATTTCCAGCGAACTTCTCTGCCATCTCATTTGGGGATTTGCGCCATTATCCGAATTTATAATGACGGAAACATAAACTATATTTATTGCGGCCGCTATATGACGTAGACTGTCAGTAGCTTCTTGTATAGACGCTAGTTCGGCCTGAGAGATACTGAAATGGTCTGGAAGGCGGAAGGACCAGTCCAGCGCCATTTGTTCAGTGTATACTCCTCCACCTACCCTGCTATCTAGCTCGAATCCATCAGTGTAGAACTGAAGAGAATTTTCATACACCGAGACTCCTTTTGACCGTGATTCTCTACTGGGTATCTCTGTGTGATATCCCTTACCCTCTGCTATAACTCGATCCGCGGGACACTAATAACAACACGTTTAGATGTAATAACAATAATTTTCTATCAATATACATAACTACATATACATACATATAAACTATACAAATAGATCTCTTCAAAGCTGTTCCAACAAATTGTAAGTACATACGTGCATACAAACCTACGTAAATGCAAAATCATCAAAAACTCGCTAATCACTTCTCAAAATTCACTACAACTTCAATGTGGTTTTCAGTTCATTGCGCGAAAGGATTATGTGGATTAGCGCCAGGTATGTCGAGATTACCGCCCGTAGTCTGATAAGTGCCGTAGCTGTTGCCTGTACCACCATTGGGATTCATCTCATTTAGACGCGCATTGGAAAGCGCACGCGGTATCGGATTACTGGGTACACCGTGTGGCGCCAGATGTGAGGTCTCTTCGGCCACCTGCAAAATAGAATAATAAGATCCCCTCATCCCATTGCATATTTTTGTACTTTTTAAAGACGTTTACCTGACGCGGATCCTCCGTAGGTGGCAATTCCGAAATGAAGCCTTGATCTTTGCGATAGAAGTTCACGAAAACGAAAACACCCAAGACCACAAGACAAGCCAAGCCATAGCCGCGGAATGTTTCCGTAGTGCCATAGTATGTGACGAACATGCCGCCAATGATCGCACCACAGCCACGTCCTAGACCGTGATGTATACCCTGTAGTACGCCTTGGGCCGAGGCTCGCAAATGTTTGGGTGTACAGTGCGCAATGTACGAACAGGAGGCAGCCCAAACGGCGGCATGTGTGATACCCTGCATCAGCTCGAATGGCAAGACCATCCAAGGATTGGTCGCGTAGGAGATGTACAAGAAGCGTAACACATTACCAACCAAGCCCAGGCACAACACTTTGATGTGACCGATTTGTGCGATGAAGCGGAAACTGTAGAAATATGCAAAGATCTCGGAAACGTGGTTGATCACAGAGGCAACACCGAAGAGCGTCGGGGTGCCGCCATAATCTTGCAGATGCCAGAAGAGAAACGTGAAAATCAGACCGATGCCGAAGCCCATGAACCAAGCGACGAACAGGAAAGAAATGGTTTTCATATCCTTAAAATGTGTCAAGACAGTTAGCCATTCGGGCATTTCCTTAGTAGTTTGAGCAAATATTTTCGATTGTGCACCCACTGCGGCCGGTGGTGCTTTGCCAACTGCAGCCGTACCACTACCAACCGCTAATGAAGGCAAATTAAGCTGCGCAGCTAACTCGGCCATGGACTCATCTTCGGCTTGCTTATTTGCCGTGGCATCCGGATTCTCGGCTGTCTGTTGGTCAAGTTCGATTGGATCATATTTAAATGTGATCTTCGAGGCCGACGCTATGGCACAAGTCATCAATATCGAGAAAATGGCAAAGCAGATATTGTAGTTCTTTTCCATGTGACCAGCGCCGCAAGGATGATGTGAGAAGCGTGTCGAATGATCGAGTACAATGCCGACAACGAACATGGAAATGCCCCAACCGAGTGAGCCAAACATGCGTTGATGGCCATACTTGTCTGCATCGTCGCCGAGCAAAGTGATGACGGCTGAGTCGGCGAGTGTGATGGCTGGAGCGCTAAAGAACTCACCTATGAGTATGACGAGCAAAAGCAGGAAGAATGCTTTTTGTATGTCCTACGAAGAGGGCAGATAAGTAAAAAAAAACCTGTGGAAAATATTTTACAATATAAATACTTACTGGTGTGCGATATACCATGGACGAGAATATCGGGCTAACATAGTCGCGATGCTGTTTATCATCGTAATTGCTGACAAAGTTTATATGGATGGGTGAGATGCCGGCATCAATACGAGGAATAAGCGAACGTTTGCGTCTTGAGGCAGAAAGAGATTGAATAATTGAATTATAGGCGATTTAGCTAAGACTCTAAAGCACTCAAAAGATAGACAACCGCTAACACTGTCGCGAAATTCTTCTACAAACAACTTCTTCTCACACTCACCTCCTATGCGACTCCTCCACCACTTCGCTGGCCGGCATCGTGGCAACACCTTGTAAAGCTGCTTGTGGGTTGATGCTGCCCACGCTCTCCTTATTCATGTCGGCCATATCATAGGCGGAAAGATCACGTTTGGTGCGTGTCAGAGTCAAAACGAAATCCGTCTCATTTTTACGTTCGATACAATTCACAGCTTCTGGTTTAATGAAACTCAACGGTATGGTGAAGAGAACCCAACAGGCGAGCGAACCCAAAAGCAATTTTTTACCTTGGCGGCAGCTAAAAATTGTCATATTAATTGAGATTAAGTAGCAGTTGTGCAGCGGACAACAGCTACTTACCGATCTGCATAGGAACCCCAGAAGGGCGCCGATAAGAACTCCACAAACGGACGCATGCCAATCAATATACCACACTGACCCGGATTCATGCCCATCTGTTTGAAATAGACACCCATCAGTGGAAAAAGCGAACCAAAAGCGGCAAAGAAGAAGAAATAGAAGGCCTTCACCGGTATGAGTTCGTGTTCGGTGGGACCGAAGAGCATTTCGATAATATCAGCATGACTGCGTATTTTGTGCGTTGATTCCTTGGCTTCGGGGTAGCTGCAATGAAAAGTGTAGTAATACAAAAATATAAAGTGAACTAAGTGCACTTACAGCGTCGGGTCCACTTCACCAGTAGCCTCTACATCGACACGTGGACGAGCTGCCACACCATATGGTTGCTGTGGTACACTACCTACTCCAGCATTGGGCATGCCGCCGCCATAACCACCAGCGACGCCTTGTCCACCATAGCCACCAGTTTGATCATAGCCCGCACCCGTTTGATCATAACCACCACCTGTTTGCTCGTAACTGCCCATCTGCTGTCCATAACCGCCACCACCATAGCTGGGCTGTTGTTCATAACCACCACCACCGCCACCAGCGAAGGGATTGGGTGCTCCACCATACTGAGCCATGCTACTTCGTTTATTTGTGGTTACACTGTCTGCGACAGACAAACGCTGCCTGCGATAAGCTTAACTTAATCGAAGTACTTAGTAATAATAACGATTTTTTGTTATAGTTAGAGCGATGCGTTGTATTTGTCCTTTAGTTGCTCACTTATTCCGTCACTCCACTACTTATGCGTTCTTTTGTTTTGCAGCGCCTCCCAATGTCTTTACAAAATTCTCGTCCGTTGCCCTCACTTAACCGCGCCTGTTGATGATGCTTACGGCTCGTTAACTTTTCCTCTTATTCCTCTCTCCGTTCGTTTTTTAATTAGGCGCTTTGTATTAAGCGCTAAGCGTTAGCGTTTAACTAGTTTTTGTTCTTGTCTTTTTTTAATAATTACGCGCGAAGTCATTTCCTCCAATATTCTGCGTTATTAAACTGAAGAGAAAAGAATGAAAATGGAAAATTAAAGCTCAATCCATGTACGTAGCTTAATAAAGACCAAATAATAATACAAGATTTAGAGCAAACATATGGGAAGATTACTCGCATTGTGGCTAATCAGATGTAACGGGCGATTTGTCGACTAGACTGGCTTTATAGGCGTGCCTCGCAGACTTTATATTTACATATTTATTATCTTTAAGTGATGAGCGCGAATCTGCATTAATTCATGAGATAAGCCGACAATCATACATCTAGTTATACCTTAATGGTGTGTAGGCGCCTGTTGGTATGCTACAGCGCTCAGCACACACATTGAGAATGAACTACTTTCTTAGATTTATTGGATTTCGCTTGGGTTTTTATTGGAGCATAAAACTAAAATTATAGTGTAAGCGTACACTTTGGATTGCCATTTATTTTTTATATTAGTTTTTATTATTTTCTATGTGTTTGCACACACGAAATTTTATTTGGAACGTCTATAATTTTCATTTCGTAATTTGCATTTCAAGGCAAAAAATAACTCCTACACCATTAAGTATGCTATTTTTCTGCTACTCACTTTATATCAAACACTTGAAAAGCTCTCCTTGCTGACAGTAATTTCACTTTGCACACAATAGAATGATTAACGGAGATACGCAATACAACGAGTGTCGGATGAATAGTTGAAGATATGTACATACTATGTACAAGAGAAAGCAGCTAATGGTAATTGAAGGACTACGCTTGAAAGCAGCAGGCAAAAAGGATGTACGCATTTAAATGTGTTAGTGTTGGGCGAAATAGAGACGCATTTGTTTGCTTTTGTGTGAATCTTCGAGCGTTGCTTAAAAAGTATGTAAATACTCATGCTTTGATTTCAAGAACACAAACTTATTTATTTAGGTATTTAGTATTTGGTTTCACTAAAAGATTTACATATAAAAAAAAAGTATGTAAATACTCATACTTTTGACTTAAGAAACAAACACATTTTATTTCCTCCCATTCTAATGTATGTACCAGTGATAGTAAAATTGAATTTACTGCAGACTAAGTACTAATTATAAAATGTATTTACTTGTTTTCACGGGACAAAAGATGACTAAGAAAGCATTTAATTACTTTTATTTAGAAAAATTTAGAAAAACATTTATAACACAAGTACTCAGTACCACCAAAATTACACTAAATTTCGAAGAAAATCTTAAATCTCGAAATAGTCCCAAAAACATCCCCAAACTCCGATAAAGTCCTCAAAAATTTTGCAAAAGAAAATATTAAAAAGCTTGGGAAAACCCCTAAAATACTTGATAAAATAATATCACAATAGCCCCTAAAAAAAACTAAAAAGTTTAGAAAAATAAAAAAAAAATCCCGAAAACTCCCCCCAAGTTCCTAAAAAGTTTCGAATAGCCAAGCACGAGGAATATCGAAGAAATTCTACAAAATTCACAGAAAATGTTGGAAAATCCCCAAAATCCCAAATAAGTTCCGAAATATTTGCGAAAAGTCCCGAAAAATATCTCAAAAAATTTCGTATAAAATTTTGAAAAGTTCCGAAAACATCCCGCAAGTTCTTTAAAAAGTTCCGTGTGTGTTTTGTTTTACACACGGATAATTCATGAGCATTACAAAAAAATCTGAAAAATCCAGAGAAAATACCAACAAGTTTGGAAAGTCCCGAAAAGTCCTACAAAAAGAACGGACGTCCCGAAAATATATTGAAATAGTCCCGGAAAATTTCAGAATAACGTCCGAGAAAAAATTAACGCAAGAAAAATTAAGAAAAGTTCTGAAAAATTTCAAAAATTTTGTATAAAATCTTGAAAAGTTTTAAAGATCTCGAAAAACTCATAATAGTCCCAAAAAAAATCAAAAACTACCAAAAGTTCCAGAAAATCGCAGAAAGGTACGAAAATTATAGCACGAAGAATCCCAAAAAGTGCTGAAAATATAGAGAAAAGTTTCCAAAAACTTTCCAAAGTTCTTAATAAGCTCCCGAAGAGTAAATCACGAAAAACACAGAAAAAATCTGCAGAAATCTTTAAAATTTCGAAAACTCCCGAAAATCACGAAGCATCTTATTATATTTATTATTATTAAATAGTAAATACCTTAGTACTTTTATATTTAACATGTAAACACCCCATTAGGTAGCTGTTTTTTATACTCTTGAAATTCTTTCATAGTGAGTGTTCAAAATCGCTTGGACCAAATTAAACTTTTATTTTTGATACGGTCAAATGTGCGTACGTACATACATATGTAAATTATTTCCATCTGCCTGTAGGTATTACGAACTTAATTAACTAATCTTTTTCTAATTTTTTATAATTTTTATCTCTACTTCCCCCCCCCATGTTTCATCTATCTATTTGCTCGTACATTAACTTTTCGCTGACTTTTTTACCACTTTGTTTTACTTTTAACCTCCGCAATTTATTAGCTTAGTTTCATATTTCATTTGAGTGTCAGTGTCGCCATTTAACATTTTTCTATGTCAATGCGCATTACCGACGAACATACATACATATGTATGTACTTGCATGCATACTTGTATATTAACTTTTTTATAATTATAATCTGTCGTGTGTAAGGTCGCACGCAAATAATTATATATACATATATGCACATTTACATATATACAAATATATGTATGTAGGTAGGTAGGTATCTAAGTAAATATGCAAATATGTGTGTGAATCTAAAACACTATATATATATATATATACGTATATTTACATATGTATATAGGCATATTTACATACATACGTTCTAAAGTACACTCAGATGTGTGCCATGACGTATGTGTGCTATTTGACTCTTTACTACCTATTCGCCATTACCCGTATTACTCATACGTCACGTATACCCCGCACGTTTTTCGTTCGTCTTTTAGTTTATTCTCTTTTTTTTGGATTTTGTTTTCATTCATTTATGCAGCAATTGTGCACTTAATGGAAATTTTATGCAACCACTTTAATCCAAATGGTTCAGCATAAACCTAAATATTTGAAATGATATTCTCATTGAGATACATATATACATATTTCCTTGAGAGACGAAGAGTCTTGACACTTTTATGAGGAATGCAAACAAAGCGAATAGCAATAGGAATTGATTTCTGCATAAAATGTAAAATATTTGGTATTTATTTCAATGTTGCTTATAGTGAGGGTAGATTAGGTTAAGATGGCTTGGCGGATTCGCCAACGTTACGCCTTAAAAGGCACTTCCGACATTATATAACTAAATTCGAGCACATCGTTAGTGATCGTACGCTCGTATTGATTGCCGATTATTTGTATACGTATATACGTTTTACCTCCTTTAACGATGTACGAGTAATTGATTTTATTAGTCAACCGAAAAACACTACAACAGTCTGGAAGTCTAAATTTGTAGTTGAAGAAAAATTAGTACAAAAAATCATCAATATATTCGTATGAGGGAAAAATTATCGACCATTGGCAAAATTACATTCACATAAATTCCACTTTGAATCTTTCGCAATTTACTAAACAACCAAATCTGCAGGATGGTACATACGTTGGCAGAGGGGCAGCAAGAGCACGCGTCCTACTCTCCTCACTATTTCCGAATTCATTCAAACAGACTATGGAACTGCCTTTAAAGATTTTCAGACCAACCCCATCCGAATGAGGCAAAAAGCCTTGCTTCGTGGGCAAGTGTTGGGTGAGGGGACTCATTCGATCCGCATAAGTATCGAGGCGTGGATGGAATTTATTCGGCTTTACTACAATGGGAAGAGAATCTATATAGTCATTTTACACCTTGTGAATATAATGAAGAATAGTTTAGTTCTAGCCTGCAACCCAAGTGCATATAGGAGAGCCCAGCTAGCGCTTATACCCAAGATAAGAACAAGGGATTGCTTCTTAGCTAAATCCTTTAGGTCAATCAGTAGAGAATGTCTTTGATAATGAAACCCGGTCGAGCACCACCTATCCTGTACCAGCTAATAACATTAATCCAGAGTGCTTTTAACTATGGAAATGTTGTAACCTGTGCCTTCCTTGATACAGAAGGAGTTTTCGACAACATCTCACATGAGGTCTTTTATTCTAGTACTACCTACTCGTAGGTGAATAAAAACAGAGGCCACAGTTCTCTACGGTTAAAAACTACGAAAATATGTCCAAAAAGGGGTATTATCCCCAATCCTTTGGAGCTTAGTTTTAGCTGAACACTATCAGACAATGGAGTCCGAGGACAAGGCTACGCGGATGACATAGTCATAATAGCAAGAGGGGAATTCAAGAAAAGCATATTTTACATAATCCAAAGGGCACTAAACAAACAAACCAGTGGCGTGTGAATATGAGTCTCAACACAAACCCAACAAAAACCGCCACCATTTCATGCACAAGAATAAGGAGTCTACCGGAAATGAGAGTTATAAGCCTCGATGGCGCAGAGGTCAGCACTACCGCGGAAGTGATTTATTCGGGCATCATGCTCGAAACAAAACTCGTATGGAAGAAAGACGTTGACATGAAAACATCCAGAACCGCAAGTGTCCTCGAATACTCAGATGGATGTACTATGATATATATATATATATATACTATGATTTTCAAACAAATGATAATCTATGGAGCGGTGGCCTGGGACT